GTTCAAAGGGTCCGAACAGAAAGTAAGGATAAAGAAATGGAAATAGTAATGCCCTGATTTTTATCAGTACATAGTTATACATATATTGAAATCGCCCTGTACCTCACAAACACAATTACTGTGTATTAATCAAAACTTCTTTTTGTGATGGAAATGGTGATAATCTTGATCTAATTATATAGTGTACATGTTTCCAATTATCACACTGTACTCTGTAAATGTGCACAATTCATAATTAATAAAAATGAATTCTAATTTATTTTTTCTTTTATGCTTTTTCTTTTGGTGATCTAAGGAAGCTCCACCTACCACCAGGTCATAAGGGAGACATCCCATTTTCTTCTAAAATTTGTATGGTTTTATGCATGACTTGTATGAGTAAGTTGATGATCTATTTGTCCATGTGTGTGTGTGTGTGTGTGTGTGTGTGTGTGTGTTTGTATGAGATGTGGGATACATCATGCTCAAGTTCAGTTTCCATATGGATATCCAGTTTTTTCAGTAAAATTTGTTGAAAATATTTTCCTTTGTATTAGATTTTCTGAATATCTTGGTCAAAAATCAAATGAACGCATTAGTGTTTATTTCTAGACTTCCTATTGATCTAATTATTAATCCTGAATATCATTACTATGTTGCATTTTCCTGATTACTTGACCTAAATAAGTTTTAAAGCTGGACAGTGAAGGTCTTCTAATTTTGTTCTTTTTCAAGATGTCTTTGCATAATATTGGCCTTTTGCAATTATATGTAAATTTTAAGTATGTATTAACTTCTAAAAATTACCTCTTGGGATGTGAAATTTTATTGATCCTACATATTATTTTGGAGAATATTGTCAGCTTTAAATACTGAATCTTCCAGTCTAAGAATAGAGGATACTTAACCACTAACTGAGATGTTCTACAATTTTACTCAGACATTTTCTGTATTTAAAAAAATAGAGATATAAAAAGCCTTAGCTTGAAAAAGAAAAGAAATTTTGGTATATGCTGCAATATAGCTGGACCTTAAAGTTATTATGCTAAGTCAAATAAGTCAGTTATAAATGGACAAATCAGTGAGTAGCAGTAACAGCAAGATCACCTGCTGTCCAACCCAAGAGCTTCTTAAGAGTCCCTCATGAGTATAAGGGGACCGCATATATTTTCATATGTGTTTATGATGAAGATATTAGTGGGGTAAGTTCTTTGGTAGTAGCAGTACATGTTTGCTGGAGTGTTCCAGTGGGTAATAAAGAAGCTCCCATGAAATATTATTCAGGCTCATAAAGGAAGGGAATTCTGATGTGTGCTACAACACAGGTGAACCTTGAGGACAGCGTGCTAAGTTAAATAAGCCAACCATAAAAGTATAAATATTGAATGATTCCACGTACCTGAGGCACCTAGAGTAATCACATTTACAGAGACAGAAAATCAAACACTGGCTGCCGGGGCAGGCAGAGAGCGGTGTGGGAATGGGGAGTTAGTATTTAATGGGTACAGAGTTTGGGATGATGGAAAATCTCAAGAGATGAATATTGATGGCAGTTATACTGCAATATGAATTCACTTAATGTCAATGAATGAGACACTTAAAATGGTTAAAATGAAAAATTTTCTATTATTATGCATGTTTAAACACAATTTAAAAACAGGTCTCCACTTTTTAATTTTATTTTAATGTAATACAAGTAGATATTAATAAAGAAAATATAAAAGCTGTTCTATGAAAAAATAATTTTTCACAACAAAAATAATTAGAGAATAGTAATGGCAAATACACTGTGTATCATGATTTTAGAAGAATATAATTTCATCCAGTAATCTATCTCTCAACTCATTTCCTAATAATACTATGCTGCACTTTTGAGAATCAAACTTTCCCCCTACATTCAGGTGTGACTGTAAGAAGTTCTTGGGCTGGATAGATAGATGATCTTGCTGTTACTGCTACTCACTAATTTTTCCTTTTATGACTGACTACTTGACTTAACATAATAACTTTATATGTTTTAGATTGTATTTTGATAGCAATTTTCATATCATTTTCCAAATGTTTGTTTCTAGCATTTAAAAAACAAAAGTTCTTTAACATTCATAGTAGTGATTTTGATTAATTTACTTGTAGCTTGACTAGTTTTCAAATGATTTAGAATAGTTCACATGAACAACAATGTCAAGAGCAAATAGCAACTAGTATCATGCCTTTATTTTCCTGATTCTCATGCTTAATAACAACAGCAGTAAGTTGAGAATTCTTATGCCTGATGTTAGGTTAAAAAAAAAGGTTCAATATTTTATGGCTAAGGGGATGGATAGCTGTAGGAATTTGTTGATGTCCTTTATCAGTTTGAGGATTCCTAGCGTAAAATTTTTATCAAAAGTGCTAAATTCATCAAATATTTTTATGCATTAATTAAAATTATTAAACAGACTTCACTCTTTAATTCTACTAATGAAGTGAATTAAATTAACTAATTTTAAAAAGTCATAACAACCTTATCCTAAGATAAACCCTCTTTAGTTATGATATGAAATCACTTTGATATAGTTCTGGATTTGACTTTCTGATATTTTGCTGAAGATTTTTGCATCCCTATTCAAGAGCTGCCGTTTTATGTATTTGTTCAGTTTTGTTTTAAAATTTCTTTGCTGAGATTTGGTATTGGGGGCTCAAAAAGAAGTTTAGTCATATTCTCTCCTTTTCTATTTTCCAAGAGATTGTGTACATTTGGTAATTCTTCCTTAAACATTTAATAGCATCTAATAAAGGACTACCTAAGCCAAAGGTTTTCTTCATGTGAAGATTGTTGGCAAGAATTCAACTCCCTTAATAAATGTAGGACTCTGGGCATTTTATGTTTTAGCTTGTGTCAGTTTTGACAAATTTTAGTTTCATGAAATATGCTTATTTCAAGTAAATTGTGACCTAAGCTTGTTTCTAATGGACTCTGATTTTTCTATTAATATCTATAAGGTCTGCAGTGGTAATTCCTCTTTCATTACTGATATTAGCACCATGTTTGCTTTCTTATTTTTTTCAGTGCTAATCTTGCTAGGGGTTTATCAGTTTTCCTAATCTTTTCAAAGAATTTCCTTTCTACTTTATTAATTTCCCCTTTATATGTCTGCATTTTGCTTCATTGACATTAGCTCTAATATTTATTTAAAAATCTTCCTTCTTTGTATTTATTTTTTTTTAAAAGTAAAAGTAATTGTTTAGTCTTTTAGTTTGTAATATAGGCATTTATTTTTAAATAATTCCAAAATTGTAATATTGGTGTTTTTATTATCATTCAGTTCAAACTAATTTCTAGCTGGGCACGATGACACACACATTTGAGCTCCTCAGGAGGCTGAAATAGGAGAATCCCAAGTACAAGGCCAGCCTGAGCAATTTAGCGAACTGCTGTCTCAAAACAAGATAAAAATAAAAAGGTTTAACTTTTGCTTAGCGTGTTTGAAGTGCTGAGTGTAATTCTCAGGTCCAAAAATTGTTTTTAATTTCTCTTATCCTTTATTTATTGACCTATAAATTACTGACATTTAAAAGTGCATTTAATTCTCACATTTTTGGTGGTTCTCAGATTTTTATTTTCTAATTGAATTCCATAATCTAAGAATATATTCTGATTTCAGTAATTTTCAATTTGATGCTATTCTCTTTGTGGCCCCTGCATTTGAAGAGAATGTGTGTTGTGTCCATCTTTAGTGTCATGTCCTGTAAGTGCCATTTACATCAAGGAAGTTGATAGGGTTTGTCATAGTACCCATGTATTTAATGTTTTTTTTTGTTAGCTGTTTTAGCAATTGTGAAGAGACAAGGGTTAGCATTCCCAAGTATCATGTGTAATTTTTTGTTTCTTCCTTTGTTATTTTTTGCTTTGTCTATTGTGAAGCTCTGGTATCTAGTGACTACACAGGCTTCGTGTGTCCTCAGGATAAGATGATTCTCTTACCATTATGATGTACTCCTCTGTATCTCTGGCAATACCTTTGTCTTGAGGTCTTTCTTTCACTGTATGTTAATATAGCCAATAACCCATCTTATGTTTTCTGTTTGAATTTTATTTTTCACATCCATTTATTTTTAACCTACATTTATAAATTATATATACAACATGTAGCTTGCTTTTTTGTATTCTGATAATTTCTACCTTACAGTTATTTCACAATAGTTTCTAAAATGATTGATATGGCTTTATTTATGTCTGTTATTTTTAAGTATTTCTTCCTCATTGTTTTAATATATCTGATCTTTGTTTCTGACATTTTTGAAGTTATTTCAATATTTTATCAGAATTTCACTTCAATTTATCTATTGAATTTTTGGTTATCGGTTTTTGTAATTTTTTTAGATTGATCCTCTGTAGATTACAATTTATATCCTAAGTTTTTACAGTCTGTTTGTTACTACCCAACCACTTACGTATAATTTGGAATTCTTGTAATCATATAGATCCATTTACCCCCTAATTCTGTTCTTCATGCTTTATATATAGTACAAAGAACTGTATTTTTTTTCCCCATTAAGTTTATTGGAACATTTTAGGTATCCATTATGATCACATTCATCATTGGGAATTTGTACCTATACATGATATATCTCAGTTGTTTTTTCCCCATTCCCTTCCTTCCCTTCCACCCCTCCACCCCTCCCTACTTACAAAAACTTTGTTTCTGTTTTTTTCTTCTTTTCTCATATTTTTTTCCTTCCTTTCTGGAGAAGTAGGTGGGGTGGGGGAAAGGAAAGAATGGACCTGTATTATAAAGCAGAAATATGTTACAAATTTTGCTTCCAATTGTCAAATACATTTTATAGCAAAAAAGTAAAAACATATCTTATAGTATTTCCCATTCCCAATGCTTTTCATTTGCTTCAAAATATCTGACTTCCTCCCAAGTATCATATTCCTACAGCCTGGACAATCTCTTTTACCAACCCTTGTCATCCATATTTCTTGCGAATGAATATTCTTGTTTTATTTCATCATAAAATGTTTTTATTTTGTCTTCATTCTTGAGGTAATTTCCATGGGAGACTTATGACAATTTTGCTTTTCCTTCCATTTTAGAGAGGTTTTCCTACAGTCATGTGGCATCGTCAGTCTCTGATGAGAACTCAGGTCTTTTGAAACCCTGCTTCCTTGGGCGTTATACGTTGCTTTCCTCCAGCCACTTTCAGTTTTGATTTCCTCTTCAATTTTTTGAGTATGGTTCAAAGACATGGTTTTCTTCACAGTTATTGTGCTGGGGGGCTTCATCAAGCTTCTTGCATCACCATATTTATCTTTGAGCACATTTGGAAAAGTGTCCAAAATCCACACTTGAGAATATAATCAAAGGGGAAGATGGAGGATTAAAACTAGCAGCAATTGACAGATGCTCAGATGTCACTTGCCAGGATCTGCAGGGATTTGGAAATAGAGTTGAAGAAAAATCCAGTCACAGGAAAGCAACTTAAAAAGAGGAACCTACCAGCCAATATCCAATATCAGGTCTGTCTAGGGGGAAAAGCAGGGTCTTTCTTCAGTCTTACAGCTTACAGTTCAGTTTGGTAATCATGCCTTTAGGAAAGAATCTAACCTCTGGAGAGAAAAAGCAGAGGGAAGAGGGAAGAGGGAAGAAGGGCAGAGAAACAATGGTGACTGATCCATGCCCAGGTAGCAGTGATCAGTGTCCAGCTGAGTACTCATGGCCCGGTGTGCCCCTGTCCCAGTCCCTTCCCACTGGGAGATGAGGCCAAGCTACCATGATATTCTGAGATTTTGGGGAGAGAATTCCCTCAGATCAGAGCCCTAAGGAAGGCTGGGGCCAGAAAATCGATCACTGATGAGTCTCTGGGATGGAGAGAAACAAGGGCTCTGTTCTCAACAAGGATGTGAAAGGCAGGGGCATGCAGAGACTGTGAAGAGAGCTATCCCCAGTGTAGAGAAGAAATGCTGGAGCAGTGTCGCTATGGGCACATGTCCCCACACTCCAAAACCTTTGTGCCCTCCCGCCCACTGCAGCTTTCCAAATGCCAGCGTTCAGTACTCTGTGGGATCCATCCCACAGGCCACTACAGACTGAGAAGCTGAGGCTTAGTGAGCCCACTCCCATTGGTTCCTAGACTCTGCTGGGTTCCATGCAGGAGGGACACCCTACTCCCCACCCTGAGCTCCAGGAGCCACTGTACTAGGGGCTGGATATGAGAGATTCCATGAGAGGCACAGACAGTGAGCTTGGAGAGGGCACAGAGACACACTGAATAATGGGACAAGGTGGGGTTGCGTGGTGTGCCTACCTGCAGCGGTGTGAAGAAACCAGGTGTAAATAGCTGCAGGCATTGCCACTGAGGGAAGGGGGCAGGAAACAAAGACCTCCCCACAATGAAATCAGCAGAGGAGCATTTGATGAATCCCCATCTGCCATCCCCATCCCCACCCTGACCCTCAGTCAAAGGAAAGTGTTCCATCACAGACAGACACAAAACATTTGGCTGGTTATGTGCATAGCAGCACAGTGGCGGTCTATCAGGACTGCCTGCCTGGCATGGACTGTCTACTGTTACATGTCTCTGTCTGTTTTATTCTTTTCCTTTATTAATTTTTTCTGTTTTTATCTCCTTTTCTTTTTTATTTTCCCCTTTTTGGTCTCCTTTCATCACATAGACAGATAGATAGGAATGTAAATATAGTGTCTGTTTATGTGAAACAGAGACTAGTAAATAATTAATGCTTTATTTGAAAAGTATCTTTCATGGTCATATTAGAGGAATCCCAAACATAAATAGTATAGGAGATCCCAAGCACAAACTTTTGAACAGTTTTCTAATCCGTTCCTACCCTCCTACAGCTTCTCCCAATCTCCAGTCATACTTTCCTTCCTCTTTTTTCTTCTCCTCACCCTCACAGCCTCTCAAACTTCCTTTCACCTCTCCATTCACCCAAGTCCTATCTCTTTCCTTACTTTCATTTGTTCTTATCTCTGTTTCTTTCTTCCCTGGTTTTGCAACTGTTTTCTTCCTGACTTCTTTCATCTTCCGCATCCCAGCCTAATCGTCAGCAGCACCAGTTCATTGTCTTCCTGGATTCCTGAAAGGAAACAAACCATGAAATCATCAAAACAAGCTTAAATTATGGGTGATATATGGCTGGTTCTGTAGATGCTGATATAAACTGATAACTGTTCTCTCCTTGCAAGACAATGACTTTTTACACCCACAGGGTGAAGAGGATTCTAAACACCAAAACATGACCAAACCCAACAACATATCACAGGGAGACAGAATCTAATGAAAGAGATGTGCACAGTAGTTACAGTCTTTGCACTCTGATCATCAACCTGCAGCACAGAAAGAATACCAACACAAGAAAGCAAGACAATGTGATGCTGCCAAAATCCCTTAACTCCCCCAAAGTGGATCTCCCCAGCACTAAAGTAGAGGAAGTTACAGACAAGGAACTCAAAAGCTAAATGGTTAAAATATTTGAAGAGATCAAAGAAGAAGCATATAAACAAATTCATAAGATATTTAGCAAGCTTAAAGAGGATTTAAATAAGCAGATCAAGGATTTAACTAATAAAATGCTCATTGACTTTAAAGACACAAACCATAAGCTGATTGAGGTAAACAGAAAATACAAGATATAAATTGCCATTTCATTATTTCTGTTATTATGTCTGTTTACTGCTTCCCTGGTTTCTGAACTATATTAGAAATTATGGAAAGAAATCAAGCAGAAATCTATGATATAAAAATTCAATAGAAAGCATGAGTAGCAGATTTGACCAACATGAGGACAGTGTCAGAACATGAAAACAGGTTGATGTAGTAGATCACAGTCAGTGATACCCTAAAAACAAGATACTGTAGGAGCTTTCCAAAGATGCTAGATATTTAAAATAAAACTAACCCAGAATTGTAGGAATAAAGGAAAACTTAGACAATCACTCAAAAGATAAAAGTTTTATTTACCAAAAGCATAACAGAAACTTTTCCAAATCTGGAGAAATAATCAATATTCAAGTACAAGAGGCATGGAGAACTTCAAAGAGTCATAGTCATAAAAGAACCACTCCACAACACATCATAACCAAAATTCCAGAAATTCAAGATGAAGAGAGGATATTAAAAGCTGTTAAAGGCAAGTCTATGAGAATATTAGTGGATGTCTTAGCAAAAACCTAAAGTCCAAGGAGATCTTAGAACAAAGTATTTAAGCTGAAAAAAAAAAAACTGGCAATACAGACTCTGTATCTTGCAAAATTTGTTTTCACAATTGACAGAGACATACTTTCCATGACAAGGAAAATTTAAAGAAATACATAACCACTAAGCCAGCATTGTAGAAATTATTTAAGGGAATCCTAGACAGAGACAGGGATGCCAACGCAACCAAAGCACCCAAAGGAAAGTATACCTTGACCTGGGAGAGTAGTTAAACAAAAGGAAAAAAAAATAAAGGAATCAGCAGTGGAAAAACAGTGCAGTAACAGAATTCAGCTAATACTTTATAACTCTCAATGACAATAGTCTTCATTCCCCATTCAAAAGACACAACTCACAGTTGGATGAAAAGACAAAATCCAACCATACTTTGCCTACACAATACAAACCTCATCCCCAAAGAAGCATATAAACTGAGAGTGAAAGGATAGAAAAATGATACTCCATCCAACCAGAGCCCAAAAGCAATCAGGAGTAGCTATTTTATATTCAGATACAGCAGATTTCAATCCAAAGCTGATCAGAACAGACTAAGATGGCCACTATATACTGGTAAAGGGAATAATTCAACAGAAAGAGATAACAGTTGTAAATACATGTCCACCAAAAGTGTGCATACCTAACTTCACAAAGTAAAAACTGTTGGACATGAAAGGACAGACACCAATACAACCATAGCAGGAAACCATCACTGTCACAAACAGACCACTAATCAGACCAAAAAATCAGCAAAGATATATCATTGTGAAACCACACCATTGAACCAATACACTCAACAGGTACCTACACTATTTTTTTCCGATTTTTGTCGAAGTTTTCTTAGCAGCACAGGAAACTTTATCCAAAATCAATCATTTCTCAGGCCACAAGCATGCTTAAATAAATACAAAGAATTGAAATGACCTGTTGGGGATTATAGGGAAATGGAACTAGAAATCAATAGGAAAAGAAACTATGTAAACATATGGAGATTAAATAATACATTGCTGAATAATCCATGGATAACAGAAGAAATCAGGGAAGAGATTTAAAAGTTCCTAGAATCAAATGCCAATGGAAACACAACATAACTAAACCTATGGAACAATGAAAGGAGTTCTAAGAGAGGAGTTTATAGCTGTGAATGCACAGAGTACAATAATGTGATCTTGTCTTAGTTACTTTTCTTGTTGCTGAGACAAAATAACTGACATCCAAAGTTAAAGGAGGAAATGTTTATTTAGCTCACAGTTTGTAAAGGTTTCAGTACATAACCAGCTGTGTTCAAGGCAGGGTGAAATGGTACACAGGCATCACAGAGGAAAAACAGTTTATGGTGGGCAGAAGGTAGCAAAGCAACAAGGGATGACCACAACTCTTTCCATCCCTTATATCTTATTCAGGATACTTAGAGTGGGTAGCACTCACATCCTTAATCCTAGTGCCCTTGATCCAAGCATTCCACCATGAATCAATTCCAGCATCACACACTCTAGATCCAACCACCTCTGAAAAGCCCCACCTATGACCACATGAGATTTTGGGGGAAAATCTAAGCACAAGCCATAACATATCCCAAATAAATAATCTAATTATACATATTCAGGTCCTAGAAAAATAAGAACTATCCAAATATTAAACTAGAAGAGGGAAAGAAATTAAAAAGAGCAGAATTGAAATTAATGAAATTGAGAGTAAAAAACAATGTAAAGGATCAATGATTCAAAGAGCTGTTTCTTTAAAAGGGGAAATGAGATTGAAAACACTTAGCCAAACTTACCAGAGGCAAGAAAGCAAAGATCCTCATCAACGCAAATAGAAATGAAAAAGATGAAATCACAATGGCTGCTGACAAAATCCAGAGGATTATAAGAAACTATTTCAAAAACTGACATTGCAATAAGCTGGAGAGCCTAGAAGAAATGGACAAATTCATAGACACATATGTGTTACAAAAAATGAAGATGTAAAAATAAGGAACAGACCAATAACAGACAATGCGATAGAGGCAGTAATAAAACCTACCAACTAAGAAAAACCTAGACCTGATGAAGTCACAATGGAATTCTATCAGAACTTCAGGGAGGATCCAATGCCATTTTATATAACCCTCAAACTCTTACATGAAATTTTTAAAAAGGAGCACTGCCAAATGTATTCCTGGAACCTAGCATTACCTTGACACCAAAACCATAGAAAGACTTAAAAGAAAAAGAAAACTATAAGCCCATTTCCTTAATGAACATAAATGCAAAAATCCTCAGCAAGATATTTTTGACACAATGCAGAAAATCATTAAAAATATGACTCACCATGACCAAGTTAGCTTTATCCTAAGTATGAAAGGATGGTTCAACATAGGTAAATAAATAAACATAATAAATCACATAAACAGAAATGTGAGCAAAAACCACACAATAATTTCAACTGATGTAGAAAAAGCCTTTGACAAAATCCAGTATCTATTTATGACAAAAACCCTGACAAAGATAGGTATGAAAGGACCTACCCCAAAGTGATAAACGCCATTAATAACAAACCCTTACCAACATCATAAAATAAGGGAAATTGAAAACATTTCCTCTAAAATCAGGCATAAGACAAAGGTGCTCACTTTCACCATTCTTGTCCAATACAGTATTCAATATTTAAGGTACAGTAATTAGGAAAGAGAAAAAAATAAAAGATATATCTATATCTATATATGTATATATAGATATATATATATAGATATACATGGAAGAAATCAGACTATCCTTACTCACAGATGACTGATTCTTTATATAGAAAACCCAAAAAACTCCACTAGAGGACTCTTAGGAGTACTAAACAAATCCAGCAAAGTAACAGGATACAAAATCAATACACAAAAATCAATAGCATTTCTATACACTAAAATTGAACCCAGCAAGAAAGAAATCAGGAAAATAATTCCATTCACAGTAGTTTCAAAAAATGAAATACAGTACCTAGGAATTAACATAACCATGGCAGAGAAAGGCCTTTGTAATGAAAATTATAATACTCTGAAAAAAGATATTGAAGAGGACACTAGAAAATTGAAACACATCTCTGTTCCTAGCCAAAAACAATATTGTCAAAATGGCCATATTATTTAAAACATGACACAGATTTTAATGCAATCATAATCAAAATGCCAACAGAATTCTTCACAGTACTACCAAAAATGCAATCTTTGAATATATGTGGAACCAAAAGAGACCCAGATATCCAAAGAAATTACAAGCAACAAGATCAAAGCAGGAGAGACCATATTCCCAGATTTCAAGTTATATGGCAACTGTGATAAAAACAGCACGGTACCAGTACAAAAATAGACATGTGCATTAATGGAATGAAATTGAGGATGCAAAAACAACCCCAGGCACCTTCAGCCATCTGACCTTTGACAAAAATGCCAAAATGTATATATTGGAGAAAAATATAACCTTTTTAAGAAATGGTGCTGGCAAGACAGGTATCCACATCCAGAATTAAGAACATGGTGCCATATCTCTCACCTCGCACCAAAATAAACTCAAAATGGACCAAAGACCTAGATATAAAAGCAAAAACACTAAATCTGAGTTTGCTGGAAGATAAAATTAGGTAAAACTTGCATAGGCAAGGACTTTATGAACAGAACCCCAATTGCACAAGAACTAACATCAACAATCATCAAATGTGGTTTTATCAAATTTAAAACCTTTTATCATAGCAAAGGAAACAACAAAGCTAAGAGACAACCTACAAAACAGACAAAAAAAAAAACATTTGCCAGCTGCTACTTGGACAAAGGACCAGTATCTAGAATATATAAAGAATTTTAAAAAGTTAGAACCCCTAAGATAAAAGACACAATCAAAAAATGAACAATTAAAATAGATACTTCTCAGAAGAAGAAGCACAAATTCCAATAGGTACAAGAAAACACATTTAGCATATTTGGCCATTAGAGAAATGCAAATCAAAAGAACATTGAGATTCTATTTTACTCCAGAAAGAATGGCTCTTTGAAAAAACAAGAAATGCTGAGAGGTTGTAAATGGAAATCTTTCCTATGGAAATCTGTATGGAGATACCTCCAAAAAACTAAAAATAGAATTTCCATTTGATCCCACTATACCTCTCCTGGGTATTTTCCTGAAAGAGTTAAAGACACTATATTGCAGTGATACTTGCATACCCATGTTTATAGCACCTCCACTCATAATAGCCAAATCTTAGAAATGGCCTATAGGTCCATCAACAAATGAATGGATAAAGAAAATGTGGTATGTATGTATATATATATGTGTGTATATATATATATGTATGTATATATATATACATACATATATATACACAATGGAGTACAACTTAGCCATATAAATGGATAAATTTGAGTTATTTGTAGAAAGTGGATGCCCTATGAGTCCATAATGATAAGTGAAATAAACCAGATATATAAAGTTAAATATTAAAAAAATTACATGGCTTCTATTACATGAGAAACCCCAAATATCAATAATTTAAAGGTCAAAATGAAATGTAGATAATAGGAACCAGGGAGGCAGACTTTGTGGAGATGTAAAGGGGATACAGGTATGGGGAAAACAGGAGGGCAGAGAGGGAAAGGGGAACTAAAATGATTAAGGTGATATATATGTATGTATGAGTTCCCCAAGATGAATGTAATTATTTTGTTTTGCAAACATATTAATAAAATATCTAAAAATTTTTCCAAAAATGAAAATATGGTATGCTTTATTATAAAAAATGATTACAATGAAAGATACATTGTCAGTAATCTCAAAACACTTCTCTTCACTTCAAGTACACCTATCCCACCATTTTTGCCTCTTCCTGAAGCAGTTCTGAAAGTCCTCATTTGTATCTTTAGTTGGGCTGTCTTAATTGTTTTGATGTCCTGAACCTATTCATAGCTTTCACTTTTTGTGGTCATTTTTAGTTCTAGGAAGTGCCAGGTATGGTGAATAAGGTGGATGAGGACATGCCATATTTTTACAAACCTGCCTTTACATTGGATGCCACTCAGCAGTAACAGTCATTGACTTTTTTATCACAACTTGCAAAGATCTTCATGAAAAAGAGCTTCCAGAGCTGTTTCAGAAATGGCAAGAATGATGGAATAACCATGTTGGAAGTGAAGGGAGTATTTTGTCAGGGAATAATGATATTATGATGTTTACTGTGTTATATTTTTATTTAAAAGTATACCTTATCCAGGGTTTTTTTGGTTTTATTTTTATTTTTTTTACCTTGTCTGTTTTTTGATCACCTCTTGAATACAATCTGGTACCTGAGAGAGTTAGCTTTCCATTGTTATGACAAAATCAGCTCAAAAAAATCAGCTTAAAGGGGAAACTTTTATTGTACCTCACAATTTCAGAGTTTCGGGTCCATGTTCAGCTGGTTCCACTGCTTTCAGACCTGTGGGAAGCAGGAAGTCCTAGCAGGGAGCACATGATGGAGTGAAGCTGCTCACATCATGGTAGCCAGGAAGCAAAACGAGCTCACGTTTATAAAAAAAGCCCTTCTCCAAAAACCTACTGAGCTGTGAATCCACAAATGGATTAATTGATCACATTGGGTCTCCTCGTGACCAGTCCCTTCCTCAAGGCCCCATCTGCCAACACTGCTGCATTGAGAAGCATGTCTTCAACACCTGAGCTTTTGAGGAACATTTACATCCACACCACTGCAGTGTCGTTTGTGACCGTGGGGGCACTGACCTAGGTATGTGTGAGAGGGATGTGCAGAGATAAGGGGCTTTTGGAGCCACAACCCAGACCTTCCAGAATACATGGGTGAAGATTAAAGGATACCTTCCAGGACAGTAGTCCAAGTAGGATCAAAACTCATTGCCTTAAGGAATGTATGCTCTGGCCCTTTCCTCCCCATAGTCCTATTAATTACTTAGATTAGCTCTAAAGTCAGTCACACAGCAGACCTGTCCTCCCCTGTCCACTAGGAATTCCTTCACAGACTTCCTTCTTTTGTCCTTTATCCTTGTTTCCTGGTTCTATCAATAAAAAGTCACAGAAGTTTCAGTGAGGGGCTGTTTTCCTGAGATTCTGTCACACAGAGGAGTATCAGTAAAGCAGTCCCTCTGAGCATCTTGGAGGTAAAACTGGCATCGACTCCAAGCAAGCTCTTATCCTTTGCACCAGCACGGTTAAGAATGGTGACATGTGACATTCACAATGTGTGCAACCATTATTTCCATCATGTTTCAAAATAGTTTCATCACCCACATAATGTTAGGCAACCATTCCCAGTCCCTCTGCACCTGTCCCCTGACAACCACTAATCTGCTTTCTTTTTTATGGGTTTATCCATTCTAGATATTTCACATAACTTAAAATTTTACAACATGTGGCTTTCTTTGCTCTGGCTTCTTTTGCTTACACTTTTGAGGTTCCTCTATTTTGCAGCATGTATTAGTACTTAGTTCATTTACATAGCCAACTAATATTCCTTTACACAACACATTTTACTTACTCTTTCATGCATTGGTGGACATAGGGTTATTTATATGTTTTGAACATTGTGACTACTGTTTGTAAGAGATTCACACACAAGTGTTTGTTTGAGTATCTCTTTTTAATTCTTCTCAGTTACTATGCCATTTTAGATACCCGCCAACAATGTATGCAGGTTCCTGTTTCTCCACATCCTCATCAACACTTGTTATTTTTCCATTTTGTTTTTAATAGCTTTCCTATCAAGTATGAATCATAGCAAAAATATTGGCATTTCTCTTATAAGTAAACATTTTCTTTTCATGTATTTATTGGTCTTTTGTATTCTCTTTGGAGAATGTCTTTGAGGTATATTATTTTAAACTTTTGATTGTCTTTCTGTTGAGTTGGAAGAGCACTTTATATATTGGGAATACTAAACAGATATGTGAATGTGGCAAATGTTTCCTCCCATTCT